CCATCAGTGATCATCAGTATACTACAAGGTTTTCCATCAATGAACATCAGTATACTGCAGGTTTTTCCATCAATGAACATCAGTATACTGCAGGGTTTTTCCATCAATGAACATCAGTATACTGCAGGGTTTTCCATCAATGAACATCAGTATACTGCAGGGTTTTCCATCAATGAACATCAGTATACTGCAAGGTTTTCCATCAACGTTTTACATATTTTCTTAGAACAATTCACTTTCGAAACAAAAACTGAAGTGTGCTTAAATCAAAGGCCCATAAAACTAAATTTTAAAGTTAAAAACTCGATTGTTACTGAATATATCATTTAATTTTGTTATGCTCAACAGAATTTCCAAAGAATTATAAGATAAAGAAATATGAACGAGAGATGATCATAGAATTACTTACAATGATAATAACAGGCGTAATAATTAACCACGTGGTAAACCAAAAGATGTTTGGTCGATATCCAATCATCTGTTTGACGTTGTTCAGGTAGGAGTTAATACCTAAAAAGGATAAAATTTGTTGCTTTAAGTTCGAAAAAATGACACAAGAATAAACTTTATATATGCTGTATTTTGATAACTTTCAGAAAAATCTTTTAAACAAAAGCGTCTATCTTTATTTATTTTTTCATAAGGTACATGTTTTGACATTTTATATAACTTTTCCCTCGAGTTTTCCTTCTGATCATGTATAGAGTAGCTTTTTCGAATAATCACATATAGCTTACTGTCGTGTCTCAGTCATGGAAAGTTGACCATGTATGTAGTTTGGAAAATAAATAAACATTTTACCATACATCCACGATAGTACGACGCACTCCAGCAATCCAATTAGCAGCAGAGACCAACTTGCCGAATACCAGTCTAACATTGTGAATAGGTACACGCCCCCCTAGATGGAAAATATTCGGTGTGAAACACATGTACACCTGTCGGTAGCAATATATTTAAAGTAATATTTTTGATCGTCATCATGGTGACGTACGAAACTCTTTATACGTCAGTCAAAGTTTAACACTTTTGAAGCACCTATTTAACAGCTAACGCTTTTGAAAGCAAGAATATTTAATGCCTAGTATCTCCACACTCTGATGCTACCGTTTCTAGTATTGTTTTCAGATCTTATTTTTAATACATGTTAAACACACAAAATCTCAAAAGTCGTTAGTTTACTGAACTCTAATTTAACGAAAAAGAAAACCTTCACTGAATGATTAAAAACCAGAATTAATATGACATGATATGCGTACTGTAACAAGTACACAACTGGAACTGCTGTACAATGAAGGTTAAGAGTGGAAAAAACCCAAACTTCTTGAAAACAAATTAAAAACGAAGGATACTAGCTAGTATATTATATCCATTAAGGCAGATTTTATTATAATATAGTGAGTAATTTCATGTATACAAAAATCATTTAGTCCTAACTTCATACACACACACTATCTTCTCAATAATCATTACGCAGGACTTATTAATGCGCATAACCAGTTGTATCTAATTAGGTAATATTTTTATATAACGAAATAAAGTTGTTGTTTTATCTTGGTAAAAGACGTTATTTAACTGTAAGATTACCTGTAAGACATTACACCACACGAACTCTGATTTGACCTTAAATCACATCACGGGTTACTAGGAAGAGTGTATAAGGAAACATTTCAATGTATAAGGCAACATTTCAATGTATAAGGCAACATTTCAACTATATTTACTGCCTTCTGTTCAATACACAGCAGACGATTTGTAGAAATCAAGACTTGGGACGAAGATGACAGTAGTAATATAATGTCAGTTGAGTAGACATCAAGACTTGGGGCGAAGATGATAGTAGTAATATAATGTCAGTTGAGTAGACATCAAGACTTGGGGCGAAGATGATAGTAGTAATATAATGTCAGTTGAGTAGACATCAAGACTTGGGGCGAAGATGATAGTAGTAATATAATGTCAGTTGAGTAGACATCAAGACTTGGGGCGAAGATGATAGTAGTAATATAATGTCAGTTGAGTTGACATCAAGACTTGGGGCGAAGATGATAGTAGTAATATAATGTCAGTTGAGTAGACATCAAGACTTGGGTGTAGAACGCCTTAGGTCGTTGGTCATGATATTAATATTTAGTAGTAAATAATACGTGTGTGATATTATGTCAGTCGGTTAGTAAACTTCAAGACTTTCGGTGTTGAATTCCTTACTTGGTTGATAATGATATATAACCTTTTCGCTGCCCCCCCCCCTAAGCTGTCGTGGACCAATAAAGTGTAAGCACAACGAATTTTCTGTCTGATTTTAGTTGTTTTTGTGACAAGATGGTTAAGAAACCCTGAATAGGATATTTGAAGAAAGAGCAAACAAATTTCAGAGCAAACTTTCTTTAAATTATCGTTTAACTGAATTTGTTTTATAGTTCATGTTTAGATAGATGTGTAAAAATAGGAGGAATTATGTTCGATTGTTTACTACAGGAGTGTCTAGGGACACTTTTTAACTTAGTGGTGTTTGTTTACTACAGGAGAGTCTAGGGACACTTTTTAACTTAGTGATGTTTGTTTACTACAGGAGTGTCTAGGGACACACACTCCTGTAGTAAACAAACATCACTAAGTTGAAAACACTAAGTTAAAAAGTGTCCCTAGAGTGATGTTTGTTTACTACAGGAGTGTCTAGGGACAACACTCCTGTAGTAAACAAACATCACTAAGTTGAAAAGGACACTTTTCAACTTACTATTACTACTGGACTATGTTTTTACTCATAAACTTTTATGGGGTTTGGTAAATACCAAACGAGCATATTTATGCTTATAAGGTGCACTTAAATAGCACTCAATACTAGATAGCACTAGATACTCCAGTAACAAACAAACATCACTAAGTTAAAAAACTGTCCCTAGACACTCCACTAATAAACAAACATCACTGAGTTAAAAAACTGTCCCTAGACACTCCACTAATAAACAAACATCACTAAGTTAAAAAGTGTCCCTAGACACTCCTGTAGTAAGCAAACATAGCTAAGTTAAAAAGTGTCCCTAGACACTCCTGTAGTAAACAAACATCACAAGGAGTCACACACTGTCAAGCAGTAATGGAAGGAGTCACACACTGTCCAGTAGTAATGGCAGGAGTCTTACACTGTTCAGAAGTAGTGACAAGAGTCACACACTGTCCAGTAGTAATGGCAGGAGTCACACACTGTCCAGTAGTAATGGCAGGAGTCACACACTGTCCAGTAGTAATGGCAAGAGTCACACACTGTCCAGAAGTAGTGACAAGAGTCACACACTGTACAGCAGTAATGGCAGGAGTCACACACTGTCAAGAACTAATGGCAGGAGTCACACAATGTCCAGTAGTAATGGCAGGAGTCATACACTGTCCAGCAGTAATTGGCAGGAGTCATACACTGTCCAGCAGTAATGGCAGGAGTCACACACTGTCCACTAGTAATGGCAGGAGTCACACACTGTACAGTAGTAACACTAAAGGGAGGCATAAGTAACAATACGAAACACACAAGAAAAGACGGATTCACTTACCGTGGTCATACATTTAATAAAGACAAAAAGATAACAGCCGAAAATAGTCTACATTTTGGCGAGCTTAGCATGCCTCAAAGGCCGGATTATGGTTATGCATATCTACCTTCGCTTCGAAATTTGGGGTTTTGACTTCGTTTTAAGTAATAACAATCAAATTATTCGGTCAGACAAGAGCAGCCCAATAGTTGGTAGTAGACGTTGACTGCCCGATTTTCTCTTAGTCTATCTGTTCAAAATTAGGGATTGGCTAGCTCCGATAGTCGTTGAATAGCTTTGCGCAAATATCGGGAAACAAACGTACACAATGAAATCTAAAGTTTGGCGAAAAATTTATAAATATTGAACATATAAAGGGATAACTAAAAAAAACTTTTACCCGGGCACACATCGGGAGACCCAACAGGAAACAAATCGAACACGTAACTATGACAACCCACGACTTTGATGAACGTAAAACTGGCCATTCATCCTGTATTGCAGTGATCAGAGTTTCACACATTGTAAACTGAAAAAACAAAAACACACATTGAATGAGTTAAGATACATCGTTCCAATATCACATAATACATCACATTAATCAACTATGAACACTTCGCAACCCAAAAACAAACAGTACTGAAAAAAAGATCAGTTTTGTGTGTTATTTGGAACTGTTGGTAATTAACACACCCATATTTGGAACTGTTGGTAACTAACGCATCTATATTTGGAACTGTTGGTAACTAACGCACACATAGATGGAACTGTTGTTAATTAACACACCCATATTTGGAACTGTTGTTAATTAACACACCCATATTTGGAACTGTTGGTAACTAACACACCCATATTTGGAACTGTTGGTAACTAACACACCCATATTTGGAACTGTTGGTAACTAACACACCCATATTTGGAACTGTTGTTAATTAACACACCCATATTTGGAACTGTTGTTAACTAACACACCCATACTTGGAACCATGGTAACTAACATACGCATACTTGGAACCATGGTAACTAACATATGCATACTTGGAACCATGGTAACTAACATACGCATACTTGGAACCATGGTAACTAACATACGCATACTTGGAACCATGGTAACTAACATACGCATACTTGGAACCATGGTAACTAACATACTCATATTTGGAACCATGGTAACTAACATACTCAATAACATTACCATAGTAATATTAAATACTTGTGACCCACATAAATATATATTAGACGAAAAAGAACAGCAAATCAAAAATATGCAAAATATTATTATTACTAGCGTATTGCCCATCAAAAATGACGGGGCAAGTACTACCCCCCCCCCACCTCACATTTCATAGTTAACTGAAATAAATACATTTTGCGAAATCAAGCTTGACCAAACAATGAGGCAGAAGAGAACAGTCGAGGCAGTCAAACTTCCGTAAGTTCCTTTGTGGACCAATCAAAATTAAGATCCCATTTCGAGAGATGACGAGAAATCAAGCGTGACGTGACACACATAGACTTTTATAAAGGTTAAGATTTATCTTTGCTGGTTTGAATTGGATAATAAGTAATGTACACATAATGAAATAAACGCTGCAAGATAACGTCAAATTTAGTGGAGAGATTACGTGTGCTATGGAACAATCTCTTAACTTTAACACTAAAGTAAAAACTGTAAAAATGTGATCTTCTAATCGGAGTTATTCTGAAATAAAATTAACGCATTGAACCTCTATATATTCCTAAAATATTTTCCAGAACAACTGCCTAACCGTGTTTATTTATTTATTTTTGATGTTGCTTGGAATAATGTGTAACATATTTTGGGAAATGTACAAGTCTATAAGAAGCTGTCACAGAAAAATGCTATCATTACAGAACACGTGACGCTTTTTCGTTTTTTAATTCCTACTGAAAATACGAAACACAGCAGTTGAATCAGGTTTTCATCTTTCGGCTAACACGTTTCCATAGCAAAAATATACACTGCATACAATGCTAGTTATTTTAAAACTAATGATTACGGAAAGAAGCTAGAATAAACCCCACAAAAAACTATACATTTTGGAGATATTTCTATGAAAGCAACTGAGAAGATTAACCTTCCCCATGTCTTCTTTGTGGATTAAAATGAGATTCATACAGTAATCCACAAGTTATTTAGGTTAATCTTCTCTATGTCTTCTTTGTGGATTAAAACAAGATTCAGTCAGTAATCCACAAGATATTTAGGTTAATCTTCCCAGTGTCTTCTTTGTGGATTAAAACAAGATTCAGACAGTAATCCACAATATATTTAGGTTAATCTTCTCTATGTCTTCTTTGTGGATTAAAACAAGATTCAGACAGTAATCCACAAGATATTTAGGTTAATCTTCTCTATGTCTTCTTTGTGGATTAAAACGAGATTCAGACAGTAATCCACAAGTTATTTAGGTTAATCTTCCCAGTGTCTTCTTTGTGGATTAAAACGAGATTCAGACAGTAATCCACAAGATATTTAGGTTAATCTTCCCTAAGTCTTCTTTGTGGATTAAAACAAGATTCAGACAGTAATCCACAAGATATTTAGGTTAATCTTCCCTAAGTCTTCTTTGTGGATTAAAACAAGATTCAGTCAGTAATCCACAAGATATTTAGGTTAATCTTCCCAGTGTCTTCTTTGTGGATTAAAACAAGATTCAGACAGTAATTCACATGTTGTTTAAGTTAATCTTCTCTATGTTTTCTTTGTGGATTAAAACAAGATTCAGACAGTAATTCACAAGTTATTCAGATTAGTAGTTCTAACAAAGCGAACTAATGAGTTGGGTCCAATCCAATCCTGGTAGATATTTAGGTTTAATAACTTGTTGAACTTCTCCTCGCCCCCCCCCCCTGCTTGGCTTTAGGGGACTTATCTATGATTTTCGTAATTTTCGCATGGGTTACCGGATCAAGCGAGGGGAGGGGGCCGAGAAGACGATCGGAAATGCTGTTTTCCTGTTTAATGGGTGGAGTTGGGAGTGACGCCGAATTTATATATCGCACAGGGCGTCATCAAACGTCGGTACGACACTGAACTTAAAACCCAACTGTAAACATTGATGGCTAGTCGCGACTCAGTAAATAACTGTAGTATAAAAATAATCTGGGTTACTAAAGAATTATTAAATAAATAACCTATTAGCCATTTTCAACGTATGTTCACGAGTCTTTTACACATTCTATTGACATAATGTTTTAGTTAGCAATAGATAATACAATTCTAAGTATTTCTCCAAGTGATGCTGATAAAAGAAGACACGTTTAAAACTAACCTGACTGTCCAAACCCAAAGTGATTAACATGAAGAAGAACAGGAAGGCCCATAAAGGCGAGATTGGAAGCTTTGTTACGGCTTGTGGGTAAGCTATAAAAGCTAGTCCTTGACCTATTGTAAAAAAATAAATGTCATTGCTAAAGCTAATACATAATGAAATAAATAATCAAACGTTAAGTATACAAAATGCTAGCTTCTACACCGAGTGGTCACAAGTAAATAGACACATAATTTTTCGTCATTTAACTGATTTATGCTAACTAATTTGTGTTCACAGAGCACTAAATAAATGAAAATGGTCCGCACACTAATTATCTTGTGCTTCAACATGCCTAGAACTCAAGGTTTTCTCAAATTGTCAGATTTTGTTAGAGGAAGGATAGTTGGTCAAGCAGATGGTGGAATAAGTCAGCGGCAAATGTCGCAGAATTTGGGAATCCTGCTTTCGACAGTCAACAGAATCATCGTGCAGTTCAGGAAACACGGCAAGGAAACAACTGAGCAGCGTCCGGGTCGTCC